CTGTTGAAAGGACAACAAAAGATTTAGAATATCATATAAACTTATTTGATAAATGAGTGGCAGGGATTGAGAGGACTGACCGCTCTTTTGAAAGAAGCTCTCCTGTGGGTAAAATGCTATCATACAGCCTTGAATAGTACAGAGAAATCGTCCACGAAAGGAAAAGTCAGCTGGTGCAGCAGCGTCATTGTTGCCTGATTTTAAGAAATTGCCACAGCCACCCCTGCCTTCAGCAACCACCACCCTGATCAGTCAGCAGCCACCAACATCGAGGCAGGACCCTCACCAGCAAGGACACTGTGATTAGCTGAAGGCTCAGATGATGGTCAGCATTATTTAGCAATAGCATTTTCAAAACTGATTTTAGAGAGAGAGGAAGGGAGAGGGAAAGAGAGACATCAACATCGACTGGCCTCCCCCTGCACACAGCACCGGAGCCCAGGCATGTGTCCTGACCAGGAATCAACCCAGCGACCTCCTGGTGCACTAGATGGTGCTCAGTCCTCTGAGCCACAATATGTACATTGTTGATTTTACATAAGGCTACTGCACACGTAATAGCCTCCAGCAAAGGATAAACATAGCTTTTATATGCACTGGGAAGCCAAAAACTGTGACTCGCTTTGTTACGATACCTGTTTTGCTGGGGTGGCCTGAACCAAGCCTGTGGTATCTCTGATGTACGCCCAGAGTGCAAACCTTATATGTATAATGTGATGAGTTAGACTGTAGTGAAATTTCCAAAAGCTGAACCACACACAGGCGAGGTAGTGGTAGCCCATGTGACTGACAGTATTCGTGGGTGGAGTGTTTAAAGACTCCTGCAAAGCAGCAAGAAAAAGACAGCCCTGCAGAAAAATAGGCAAGAAGCACAGACAAAAATTCCACCTAAGAGGAAGCAGGAATGGTGGTAAGCACAAAGATTAGTAGCCTGATCAGTAATCACAGGAATGCATGTTGAAGGCACCGAGATACAAAGTTACGATACAATGTTGCATCTACCAAACTGGCAAAGATGTTTAAGTCTGACAAACAGGGAGGATCTGGAGCAACAGAAACTCTTAGAAATAACTCATGGGTGAGCTCGAGGTGTGGCGACTGCCGGGGAGGGGGTGGGGAGGCGGAGCAGGTGCGGGGGATACCTGGTGATGGACGGAGACTTGACTTGGGGTGGTGAACGCACAGTATGGCGTACAGGTGCTGGAGGGTTGCGCACCTGAACCTGTATGATTTCATTAACCAGTGCCACCCCAATAAATTCAATTTAAAAATTTAAATGAATTATTTAAATAAAAAGAAACTTATAAGCTGATGGCAGGAGTGTAATTGATAGAATCACTTTGGGACACCTGTGTCCTTGTGATTCCACCAGAGGAAATTTCCTGCGTGTGCCTGGAGACGTGGGCAGGATGCTCTCGGCAGCACCGCTGAAGGTGGCAGGAAAGGGGAAGCAGCCCAGCTGTCCACTGAACCAGACAGTTGGCTGGAGGAATAGGTCATATAACACAGCCACACAGCAGAGGAAACGAGACCCACAGGGATGTGCAAAACCAGGAGGAGCCTTGGACACAGGGTCAGGAAGGGAAGCAAGTCAGAGAGAAGCACGTTATCACTTCCTCTTAAGTTCAAAATAAGCAACGGACACACTTGCAAAAAAGTCCACAGAAAAGGAACCGAGCGACCCAGGATCCAGGGGAGGAGGGGTGGGACCACAGGGCTCACGGAGTAGCGAATGTAATTTGTTGTTTTTTGGTTAATCCCCACCCGAGGATATTATTTCCATTGAATTTTAGAGAGAGTGGAAGGAAGAGAGGAACATCGATGTGGGAGAGACACAGTGATCGTCTACCTACCGCAGGTGCCCCAGTGAGCGCCAGGGATGGAACCTGAAGCCCAGGTACAAGCCCTTGACTGGTAACCGAACCTGTGCTCAAGCCGACGCTCTGACCACTAAGCCACACCGGCCAGGGCTGGATGCACATTTTGTGGAAATCTGTACGGATGCTGATCTGTGCCCAGGACAGTTCAGCTCCTCCAGGAACCAGGCTCCAGATGTACAGACCACAAGCTCCTCTCGGGTCTGGAAGGAGCCAGGTGCCCGCCTCCCTGCCCCCTCTCCTCCTCGCGCTCTGCCCCTAAGTGGTGCCCACGGCCAGGTAGACACAGAGGAGACGCCTGCTCATCCTTCCAGGTTAGAGTAACGGGGAGAGGGGCAGGATCACCCCGCCACCGCGACGTGCTTAATTGTGCAGGATGCCACACGAGTTGTCAAGTGCAGAGAAGTATTCTGATAAATTAAAACATTAATTAAATGGACTGTCGCAGAATTTCGAGAACGTCGCGGGGCTCTGCTTCTCCAGGTAATTTGCATATCCTTCATCTAGCGGCTTTAATTTTAAAGGGCTGCTTCTTAGTGTTTGGAAACCCTTTTGTCTCCGTGAAGATAAAACGGGCTTTATGCACTGTCCTCGCCTCATCAAAGCCGCTCTCCCGTCTCCGCGTCCTGCCTGCCTGCGCTCACCCCCGCAGCTCCAGATCTGCGCCCAGCCCTGACAGTGAGTCAGCGGCATTGGGCGGAACGTCTGGTGGAAGCCGGGCTCACCTTTCCCCCAGAAATGCCTTGGCAAAGCCTGTCACCGTCACCGTGGAGGCCACCAAAGGTCACGGTGACCCTCCGCTCGGCACTTCAGAGAGCACAGCTGTGTCTGCAGGTCGACACGGACCCGTCCCCAGGAGGCGGATCCCGTGCCTGAGGGAGGCACGCGTGTAGGGCGGGACACTGTCCGTGGGAGAACGTGGACATCCCGGTTCCACCCCCAGAGGGCTTTATAGAAACAGGTCCACGTGGCTGTGCAGGGCTCTTGGAGGAAACAGTGACAGACGTGTGAGAACAACCTCAGAAAAGATGTTGGATGGTCCAAGGTAACAGACATCAGATGACTACTGGGCACCTTTTTTATTTTAGGCATATTTGAGAGAAAAATAGAAAGGCCATGCATAGGATAAACCGTGTAGCTTTTGCATATGCTGGAAAAAGGCGAACTCACACCGAGTCTCTGCTTGTTGTCACCAACGAGATGATGTCATGTCTCATGGAGCTGAGGCCAGTGGTGTGTTTCCATCTGGGACAAGGCCTGCCGAGGGCCTGGGGCAGGAGGCCAGCCTGGACCGCGGGGACTGGCCAGGCGAGACCAAGTTTGTGGGAGACACGGGGGACGGGCCTGGAGGCTCTGGTGGGAGCCTGGACCTCACCCTGCAGACGGGGCACCGGGGGGTGTGCAGGAGAGGAAGGGCCAGCACCCGGCCGTCTGCAGGTCCCGGCCATCCCCTGCTTGTGGATGAAGTTCGGCTGGGGCACCACCAGGCCAGCTCCCTGTCCCCTATGTGTTGGCCTGAAGTCCTTGCGCTGTCCGGCCCGCCGACCCTCGCCTGGCCCTTCGCTGGGAATCTGCAGACCCCGCTGTTGTCAGCTGCTGTTCCTGTTCCTGAGCCTGAGGCACTCGTCACTCCTCCGTAGCCATAAATGGGTTGTTTTTAAAATCCCACGTCCCTGTACTTTCTGTTTCTCCCCTATTTAAGAATTCGCTGCCATCCCCCAAAGTAGCTTTTTGTTTGGTAAAATGTATTTCTGTTCCCAGCAGGACGTGAAACCAATTGCTTTACTCTCTGTCTCTGAGGTGAGTTCTCTCCACTCTAGGTCTCCGTTTGGGCCACGACCCGCTCCCCCCCCAGGGTCAGGTGTTTTAGGTTCTGTTGCTCCAACCAGAGGGGCTGCGTCGGCCTCGATCTTTCAGTGATGGGTAGTTAATTACCCAGATGTGGGAAATGTGCTCATCTCGCCCTGGCCGGTGTGGCTCAGTGGTTAGAAAGGGTCTCAGGTTCGATTCCCGGTCAAGGGCACGTACCTGGGTTGCAGGTTCGATCCTGGCCCAGTCAGGGTGCGTGCGGGAGGCAGCCAGTCGATGTGTCCCTCTCACATCGATGTTTCTCTCTCTCTCCCTCTCTCCCTTCCACTCTCTAAAAATCATTGGAAAAAATATCCTCAGTTGAGGATTAACAAACAAAACAAACAAAACAAAGCAATGTTCATTTGAGGGAAAAGCCTCCCCCGAGACGATGGGGAGGCCCCGGAGGTGGGAAGGAGGCGATGGCCGCGCTGCTCCGTCCCGTGAAGGTCCTGTGATCCCCACGATTGACGCACCTGCCCCCTGAGAGGCGGCTCCTCGCCATCGCCCTCTACATGAACCATGTTGTCAGGGTCCAAAATAAAACCCTATTTTTCCTGGTTTTCATTTCCAAAATGACAGGCTCCATCCAAAGGACTATTTCTACAGGACCGCAGCCAAGGCCATTGCTTCCTGACGCCTTCCTCCAACAGCGTGGGGGCGGGCGGGCTTGCGGTGTGAGCCGGGGGGACCTGTGCTCATTGCTTCCAGAGCTAATCGTCCTCTGTCCAATATGGGGGCAACTTGTTCTGTGAAAGCCTGGTCATCCTATGTCAGAGGCAACTAGGGTGAGGCCTGTATCGGAGCTAAATTATTACAGTTTCTCGTGGGGACAGGAATACGGGGGAGTCTAACAGCCCCCGGCAGGAACGGGGTGAGTGCACACCCTGTCCTGTCTCCCAGGGGTGCTAGTTATTGGGACTCATTTCCCAGTGAGTATTTAATTAACAACCATCATCTTGTTCTAAAATAAGACTTCACAGTTTGCAACCATGTCCACATACAGTTTCTCACCCAGCAGTTCTGTGAATTTCCCGCGATGGTGTCTTCGTGAAGCTGAGGGGACGCCGGCCCGTCCGCCCTCGGCTCCCAGTGGGAAACGGGCCCCGGCTTGAGGTCTCCCTCCCCAGGCTCGGTCCCAGCACTGCCGTCCAGCTGGGCGTCCAAGCTGTGATTTAATCAACGTTTTCCGTGGAGGAAAACGCTCAGTGTGTGTTGGGAACAATCCCCGCCCCGAGCTAACTAATTCCTGTGCTTCTCCGTTTCTCCCAACAGTCGACAACAAAGACAAGCTGGAAAGATCATCGGGACTGAAAATCCTTCAGGCCGGAGTGGGGTCGGTGAGTGACCGGGAGGGGGCAGCTGCCCTCTGGCGAGATGCGTCGGTGCGTGGTGGCGTCCTGTCCGCGTGGAGGTTTGCCGAGCGATGTGGTCGGTCCAGTGGTGTCGTGACTTAGGGCGGCCGACTGGCTGGTGCCGGGGGAGCCGCCGGACGGTTGAGGTGCCGACGCTGGTGTCTGGGGAATGTGACTCCGTTCGTTGCCTTTGGAATCATAACTCACATCTCCCTGGGGAAAAGCAGTTGTGGGTGAAAAACAAACGGAAACCGGCGGAAAACGGGTACATTGTTTGTAATTGTTAAATTTGTGGACCTGAGCAAGCCGGGGAGCTTCCTTCCCCCGGGGACTCAGTGGGGCGTACTTGTGCCTTAATTACTTAAGAGCCGCTCTGGCCAGGTTGGCTCGGTGGTTAGAGTGTCGTTCTGCGCACTGAAGGGCCGTGGGTTCGATTCCCGGTCAAGGGCACGTACCCGGGTTGCAGGTTCGACCCCAGGCCCTGGTTGGGGCGAGTGCGGGAGGCAGCCGTTTGATGAGTCTCTCTCACATCCGTGTTTCCCTCCCTCCCTCCCTTCCACTTTCTCTAGAGAAAAATCAGTGGAAAAAACATCCTCAGGTGAGGATTAACCAAAAAAAAAATTATTTAAGGACCCACTTGGGGGAGAAGCAACATAAGAATAGATGCTTCCTAATAGGATTTAAATCTGTCAGAAGTGGTCACGTCCGGACATCGCTGTGTTGGTGTCGGAGGAGGTCCTTGACCTAACTCTCCACCTGCAATTAAGCCGACGGCTCTCAGCTCCCGAGGCCTGGCCGGGCCGCGCCCCCGTCTCCGGGCACTTGAGTGAATCGCTCAGGGGTCCCTCCCCGGAGGGCGTGTTGCCTCTGAGGCAGTGTGGACCCAGCCAGCCTGTGCTCGCACTGCCACTGTAGAAACTGTAGGCCTCACGGCCCTCGCCGTCTCGGATAATTAACCATCGGGGCGGTTCGCTCCTGAGGGCTCCTGGCTGACGGCAGAGTGTCCTCCCTCTGTGCAGCCGCTTAAGGTCCGCCGCCTTCGCCTTCGCGGGGAAGTCTCTCCCGCAGCCCGAGTCCTGCTCTCCACACAAGAGCCTGTCTAACTGGCCGTCTCCACAGTCAGCAGCTCCGTGCTCACCGAGGGGCAGGCGTAGGGGCGGCTTACAGGGGAAACGCACATGCCTCGCAGACACGCGTGTGCCCGCGAACAGCACGCAGGACAGGGGCCCAGTGACTGACAGACCTTGTGGGAGAATGTGGGGGGGTGACTGGGTTAGCAAAGCGTCTGAGGGTGAGGCCGTCCTGGTCTCCTCCCCGTGGACCGGGCTGTACCTTCAGCAGCCAGTCAGGGCGAAGACGTGGGGCCCCGAGACCAGCTGCCCCACGGAAGGGTTGTTTCTGCAGGAACCACAAGCAGACCTGAAACGGGTCCTAGCCTGGGGTTGGTGGCATTATAGCAAGTTACCCGCTTTTCCAAAATTTCCTTCATCGTCATTTTTAACTTTTTATTTTGAAATCATTATAGATTCACAGGAAGCTGTAAGCACAGTAGAGAAATGTCCTATGGACATTCCGCGTGGTCTCCTCCTGGGTTACATGTCCGTAGCCACAGCACCGTAGCTAAACCGGAGACCGATGGTTGTAGCACTGTCAGGGTGTGTGTCTAGTTCTCTGTTGTGTCTTTAATGCCACTTTTGACAGTTTTAATAAACGTAAGTCGTGTGACCAAAGTAAACTGGTGCATATTCACGTTGACAAATGTGCGAATGTGAGAGGAAACCCCACCCCGTGTGGGGGCGGAGCCAGTCCCTCGCTCCCTGTGAGCTCACCTGTGTCTGTGTGAAAATGTCGACAGGAACTCGGCCGTCACTGATTTACAGGCACCGTGCTGAGCCCAGGCAGGACGTGTTAGTAACTGTAACATCCCTGGCGTGTAGACAGGGCGCGTGCTGGAGCTGACGAGAAGGAGCCTTGGGTGTGGATGGTGACCGTGGACAGCAGAGGCTCACGAGGGGGCTGCTCTGAGCTGAGGGGGTGACGGGTCCCACGTGTGCAGGGGAGTTCGGAACATAAATGGAGCATGAGCCATGGGGACGCGTCGCGGTGTCTGTGATTGACAGGCAGGAGAGGCGCGCGTGATGCCGCGGTTGCTATGGCAACAGATTCCATTTTTATTCTGTATCAGAGTCAGTAGTCACACAAGATGAAATAAGTAACGTCTGCATCTCACCCACCCCACCCCCTGCCCTTTTCTCGCATTTTCACCTGTATTTTTATAGAAATGCATTAGATAGGCTTCCTCCCAAGGCCTGGGCTGGCCTGGGCGGGGGCCTGGTGGTGTCCCTGTGAGTAAACGGAGGGACATTTAATAAAGTGTGAGCTTGTCCCCCGGCCTACCTGCAGAGCCGGGCACGTGGCATCAGGATGGGGAAGTCCAGAATCCCCCTCTCAGGGCTTCAGCCGTGAGACGTAGAATGGCTTGGAAGTGAGGAAATCAGAGGACATACGTCACCTCCACAGCTTCCTGAGAACACGAGGTGGCCAGCACTGCCTACCGGTCAGTCAGCCGGGCTCTGTCCAGACACCGTGCGTCTCTCACCCTTGTCCCTGCGAGGGGGACACGGTCGCAGACGAGCACACAGACCCAGCGGCTGAGCGACACAGCGGCTCCCGCTCACCTGCAGGCATCTGACGCGAGCCGGTGACCTTGTCCCTACACCCCACTTGGGCCTGAAACCAGAAGGACTGGGCTCTGCTCTCCCGTGGCTCCCAACAGGCTCCAGAATGGCTTAGGGTCTGCGTCAGACATGCTGGTGTCCACCTGGAGACCCCCAGTGCCGCTGGCCCGAGCCCTTCACTCCTGCCTCAGTGTCACTGGGGGAGGCCCAGCCACTGCTGGGCACAGCTCTAGTTTTTTGAGAACATAAAGCAAAAGGAATGTTTTTAGGAAGTAACTGTCTTCCGTTCACCAGCAGTTAGAATTAACACCACACCGAAAATGTCAGATTTCCTCCTGCCACGTGGTGGGCGCATCCCTGTAATCACGGGAAGGGATCGGCGGCAGATGTCGGACACGTAGTCAGACCTCGGTTCTCAGACGTCTCCCGTCGCCAACAGTTTGGTTCTCGACCAAGTTGTTCATGGATTAAAAAAATGTCTCAGTTGTCGAGCAAAACTCTGGTTCTTGACCCAACAACCCATTTGTGCTGACACCTGTATGACCAATCACGCGTCTCCCAGGCGACAAGCGAGAGGATGCACGAGTATGAGTCAGTTTACGGCCAAACCTCACATTAACGTCTCAGGAAACTGTGCCGTGATGTCTATTGAGCAACGTCACCCTGACAAGTAGCAAGCCCTGCGATACGCTTGTTCAGTGACAGTGCAGCGAGTCACTCCAGGCCCATGTAAAACGCAGCGAAGCAGACACCTGGAGGGGTTCTTAGTGAGACGGGGCTGGCGAGCCTGGGCAAGTTCCAGCGGAGCAGACAGAAGAGAGAAAGAACCAGAGCAGCTGCCTGACTCCCCTTCCAAACGATGCCATCCCTGCCCCTGCATCCCTGCATCCCGGCCCCTGCATCCCTGCCCCTGCACCCCTGCACCCC